ATTTGACTTCAGAGCTGAGAAAAAATATATTGTTTATATTTCAGCAAAATGACACATAATAAAGTGTAAAGGTTAATGACAGAGCTTGGATATGAATATAGTTACAGAAGTGTCCAATGCGATATAGCATAAAGTACGTCATTTATTCTAAATCCCTCAAAATTAATTCACAGTCCCTAGTATGTTTTTATTATTATTTTTTTAAAATATGAATTTTATTATTAACTCTTATTTTTATTTTATTTTAAAGGTATTAATCTAATTTAAAAATATTTCTAAAAATCCTGGCAAATAAAGTCAAATGTTCTTCGAGACCCAAAATCTATGTATGTAAAAGATATATAATCTTACAGACAAGATTCTTAACTGATGATATTGCGAGAAACAACTCTGTGCTACATGTCCCAACTAGCATTGAATGATCTTAGGAATATTATAGAAATCACTGGTAACAATATATTCTTGTTGTACTATAATCACCCTTGACAAAGACCAATATGTAAAAATGGTCACGATTGCATTTTCAAGTGGCCAAGTAATCTAATCAAATTGTCAACACTTTTGACATTGTCGTTTCAAAATTTCATTTTCTCTAAAGGCCTGCACATACATACGTGGTAGCGATGGCGGTAGAGTTATTCGAATTTAAATATACCGCTTGTACCGCGACATGTATGTTTTAACCCATTTGTTTCTATGCGTTACATTCAAACTCCACCTTACCGCGTATGGATGTGCAGTCCTTAAAAGTTTTGTGTTTTATATATGTGTTTGTTCTATTAATATTTGTTAATTTCATTTGCCACTTGCAATAGCAATCATAAGTAAAATGTAGTAAAGTAAGATTTTTCTATTGTGGTTATTTTTACATATTCGTATTTGTGACGTTAAAATAACAAGAATAAAACATCGAAAACATCTTTTTAAAAGATTACATTATATAACAATGTCGATATGTCAGGTATGTGTTTTTGTAATAATAATTTTAAGGCATATTTTTAATTTGTATTTTGCATAGATAATTATTACTGGCTGTGTTTATATTAGACATCATTTTTTATTTTTATTTTAGATAATTATTAATTATTGGCTGTTTACTGGCGGTTGTTTATTGGTGGTACAATTCAATACTAGTTGGTATATGCAGTCCATAGAGTAGTTGTTACCCGCAATATCATTGGTTAAGAATCTTTTCTATGAGATTAGATACTTTTTTGCATACCGAGATTTTTGTTATTAAAGAACTTCATTTGATAGGAGTTTTAGAAAAAAAAATTACATCTAAATAAAATATATTTTTATTATTTAATTAGTAAGAAGATATACATAATAAAATTTTGGAAACTAATTTTATAAAATGTTATTTATCATTAAATAATGAAACATGTGACAACAGACTTTCAAAACGATTTCTATTGCTGCAAATGTTTGTACAACTGGACAAATTTCATGTGAGCCCTGAAATGCGAAATCAAAAAGTCGGCGCACTTGATAAGATGGAAATTTAAGCACAATGTAACCTCTTGTTCTGCTTCATTTCCCACTCCACTACTTTGCCTCGGCGCATCCTACCCTCAGGTCTCAAATGAATTTGGATTACCTGCACTAATTCTTTTTTTTTTTTAAGAAAATAGTCATTGTGGATGAATTTTATGTGTACTGCAAGTATTAAGTTTTTCCAAAGTATTTACTTTTTGTGTGTAAACTGTTTGATTCATTTAGATTATTTTATTTAAATTGTTCTAACAGACAATATTATTTTATAGTCTGTAAATTCTCACTACATATCTACTCAGACAAAGAGCAAACCTGAAGAGATAATGTTTACCAGATTCACTTCAAACTTTAAACTTTTCTTTTAAGAATGAAACCATTTAGTGAATTAGACAATATTTATGACCCATTTCAGATGGAAACACCCTTGTGTAACTGGACAAACTTCATTTGAGCCCTGAAATGAACAAATCAAGCAGCAAGCGCACTTGATATATAATGAGATGGAATTGCAGGCAGCAGGTAACCTATAGTTTATCTTGAAAACAAAAGACGATAAATCTGTAGTTCATAGGAAAAATCATCTTATTTTTTTTTAATTTAATACTTTTAATATTGATGATACATTTTTCTGAAACAACTTGTAAATACAGGGTGTTTTGCATAAGAAGCGACACAGAGCAGAGGCATGTAGGGAACCCAAAATATGGTGATTTAACAAAACTTACCTTTATACTAAGCTGCACGCACCCCTGAAAAGTTATAGGCCTTGAAAGTGGGGTTTCAAATTTCGAAAAAAATCGGTATCACAGTTATACTTGAACTTAGAAAAACCAAATTTAATATATGATGTGAGTGTATCAAGAGCATTAATCGACAGTAAGTAGAGTAGAGACCGACCGAATGTGATTTTTTTGGCCGAAGCCGAAGATATTTTTATTAACTTAAAAATTTTAATTAAAAACAAAAATATGATAAGATTACATAAAAGTAGGTCAAAAATAAATGCACAATGTTTTGGAAATATAATATATATAATAAACAATAATAAATAAAACAAATTCTAATAATAAACATAAAACATAACGGGTAACGGGTATTCTAAAAAAGATAGGCTAGATAGGCATGGAGGCTAAACTTGTGGGCAATTATTTCCTCTTCTAATTCATTTATTTGGATACTGGTGGTTAAAAAAGTCTCATATTACTAAAATGAGGGGGTGCTCCAACATGTATAAGCCAATGTTCCAGTCCGAGTTGTAGTGGCACCTCATCAAGTAAATCCGGGAGAGTGTTTTGGAGAAATTTTAAGTAAGCTTCGCCGCCATTTAGTCGATTCGGTAAAATATCTGAACCAATTAAATATATAAACATTTATTTTAAACTCGACTTGGAAATGTCGAGGAGTTACTGAGTGAGGGTTTACTTCGGAATACTCACACATAGTTATATAAATTCTTAATACCTCTGCAGGTGAAACAAGTTTCATCAGTAAAGCTAATTTTCTTTTGAAAATTAATGCGTTGATGTAAAATAAACTGACAGAAATTCACACCTTTAACCAAATCATTCGGTAATAATTCTTGCACTATTTGGTGTAGTAGATTACATCTGATCACTTGGTGCATAGAAGTTTGTCAAGATAGAATTCTAGTACTAATATGTGGGTTATCTTCAATTGTATTCAAAATAAGTTCTTCGTCTCGTGCCCTGATTGTAATTCACACATCCTCGAGTGTTACTGAAAAACTTGTCTGCTTCTTGAGCCCGTCTTTCAACATTGGAAAATGGGGATTACACGATTTGGAAATCTTCTCCGATATTCTTTAACACTTCTGTAATTTCCTTCACAGAAACCTAACACTAATACAGTGGCGGCTCGCCAGGTGATGCAAGTGATGCACCACTTCACTTAAAATTTCAGTTTAGTTGTGCAGTTTAAAATTATTTTTAATTTTATATAAATTTTATAATTTAGGTATAATTTTATATTGAAATTGTATTGTGTTTGTTTTATACGCAGAAATGAACAGAATAGTTGCACATACAACATAGAATAACCAAGTGACGTGGATCGAAATCAGTTTATATTTCGCTTCACTTTGTAGCATTGTTTACGGCGGTTGTCATGGCAACGAGGCGGCCTACACATGAGTAAATTACAGCGTGGGGGAACGAGTGACGCGGAAATTGAAGCAGCATCGCCATCGTCCATCGCTTGCCTTTTAACAGTTTATACGATACGTCGCCCAGTGCACGATTACCATATAATGGTTCTTTGTTAATATTTGTTTTGTATCAATAATTGTAGAAATGTTTCCTATGAATGATCCAGTATGTATTTTATTGGAACCGCCATTTTCCAGATGAAAAATCGAGGACAAAAAGTTTTTTTAAGTTGCGAGAGACCTGTGCCTTCTCTCGATGTGGAAAAAAGGAGAAGTCAAAAGTATAAGTGGTTGTGTGGAAGTGTTTATTTAAAATAACTTTTCTGTATGCCCTGTTTAATTGTGGGTGTAAAGACGGGCATGTGGAATAAGGAGGGATTTAACAATTTTGGGAACGTCACACAAGGCTGTCTTAACCACGAAGCTTCTTTGGAACGTGGTGTGCGTTAATGTTCGCAGAAATCCACAACGAATTAATATATTTCTATTTTTTTATAAAATCTAAATGAAAATCCTTCTTGCGAACGCCAGTTTTTTGGTAATATTGCAAATGCAACTAAAAATTTCCAGATTCATTTAAAGCCGTTTTATCATCCGTCTGCTTTTTTTTTTTCTTTTTAGTCAGTCAATGAATATGCGTCACTTATTCTCATTGTCCCGAGCCACCACTGCAGTAATAGCATGTCAACTTGTTCGCTAAATGAAAACTACCCTTTCAAAATTCTCAGCAAACATTTCCTAAAATTAAATGACTTTTTTCCTGATCGTCATTTTGACGTTTAATAGCCAACATTTGAATTTTCGATGATTTATCAACCCTTCAAATGCTTCAATTGAAGTCTACTTACTGTCTTGGTACACTCACATCGTGTACCAAATTTGGTTTTTCTAAGCTCAAGTATAACTGAGATATTGATTTTTTTCGAAATTTGAAACCTCACTTTCAAGGCCTATAACTTCTCAGGGGTTCAGCTTAGTATAAGGGTAAGCTGTGTTAAATCACCGTTAAATCACCATATTTTGGGTTCCCCTACATGCCCTGCTCTGTGCTTCTTAAGCGAAACACCCTGTATAACAAAAAACAAAATATATTACTAAGAAATTCAAGATTTCTGTGAAAAAAATTATAACACTTGAACGTTTGACAACAATGTTTGTTAATTCTTTGTAGTAAGTATCATAAATCATTGCTGAATACCACTATGATTACCTACAAAATATTTTCCTAAGTTAGTTACTAACAATTTTATAGAGTAGGTTTTATAGAGAAGAGAAGAAAATACATATTTAATACTGTTTTGTATATTTTATCTACTGGAACGTAAAATATTTGTTTTAGGAGCGCCTGGTAGCTTCCCCGTGCTATCAGAAAATAGAAAGCTGCAGAAGTATTTACAATGGTCAGATAATATTGAAAAAGAAGCGAATGAATTTATTAGAAACAATTTACCAAAAGGAGGTTTTGTTGGCATCCATTTAAGAAATGGAATTGATTGGGTGAGAGCTTGTGAACATATACCTGAAAGTCCGAATCTGTTTGCTGCAGCTCAATGTGTTGGTTACCAAAATGAAAAAGGAAAAGCCACAAAAGACATGTGTTTACCCTCTAAGGAAACTGTATTAAGACAGCTGAAACGAGTGATAAAAAACATTAACAATTCGGTTAATAATAAAAATGATCGTACAATTAAGTCAGTTTATGTTGCTTCAGATAATAATCATATGTTAAATGAATTAGAAATAGCACTTAAAAGAATGAAGGTGCAAGTATTTAAGTTCAATAAATCGAGTCCACATATTGATTTAGCCATTCTTGGTATGTCCAATCATTTCATTGGAAATTGTATATCATCGTTTAGTGCTTTTGTGAAAAGAGAAAGAGATGTAAAAGGGTTTCCATCTTCATTTTGGGCATATCCTTCAGAGAAAAATTATAAGGGCAGTGATCCTTCACACGATGAATTGTAATTTTTGGCAGTTAAATCACCTGATTGAATACATTACATGCTACATGTAGTTTAAAAGTAAATATTTAAATTATTTTATTGCATGGAAAAATAATTAGAATTGCAGTATTGTTAATAATAGTAAGACAAATGGTGTGTTTTCAAAAAAAAGTATGTCCCTCAAGAGAGAGAAAATAACGACTGTCTAATGAAAGCTATATTGCATTTATTTAATACTTTTTATAACAGTTTTTATAGAGGGTAAATCTTGTGTCTTCATATTGATGAAGGAATTGTGAACATAATACTGTATTATTTGAAAACTTACGAGAATAATTTTTTATAAAATCTCGGAGCTGCGAACTTTTTATACATAGTAATCAATGTCACCGATATCCTCTTGTAGAGTTACAGTTATACAATAAAAAAATAAAAAAGTTTGTACACTTGTTTTGGTTATCTTAACATTCTGATTTTGAAAGTGAAACATTGACTGACAATTAACATGTACAATTATAAATTTTTATATGTTGAATAGTAATATTCTTAGATTTCTTATTGATTTTGAGAAGGTTTTACCTTTTATATTTTGGGTATGGATGGTCCTGATGCTGCCATTTGATAACTGACGTTCCTACTGTAAAGTTCAACTTTTTGTCGGTATACTTACTCAGAACGTTTTGACGTACATGCGCTATTTGTATAGTTTACAGTGACAAAATAGCAGTCGACTGTATGGGTCTTCCGAGATGAGCCAAATCCAGCAAAAGTAGATCACACACGAAGCACTTCTATGCAAATGGTCGCCTGTTTTTTTGGAAAAGCCAACATGTACTGTACCATTAGTGCAACATCGGACGGTCAATTCTGAATGATACACAACCATTTTTTTGCCAGAAGTCTTTGGAAAAATAAGGAAAACCAACTGCCGAAGACGCATCATTCTCCACCAGGACAAGCGAACTCTCACACATCGGCTCAAACCAGAGACTTTTTGAGAAGTGAAAAAGTCGAATTGATGTCATCCGCTGTACAGCCCTGATTTGGTACCCAAATACTTTTTTTATTCCTGTACATCAACAATAAATTATGAGGTCAACATTTGATGTGTTCAAAATGCATGGTTTGGAGGTATGTACCTCAATCGGAATGGAAAAAGTGATTTTAAAATTGGTTCAAGCGCATGCAAAAGTGTATTGACTTTCATAGAGAATATTTTGGAAAACAATAAAGCCATATGCAATGATCAATTTCTTTTTTCCCAAAATATAAAAGGCAACCCTTGTATAGTTACTTTACTAATAATATTTAATGTTTTTATTTTTAAAACATAGCACTTATAGTTTTACAGACTTATACAATACACTTATTTTGTAATAAACATTTTTTTATCACAACTTGCCATCTTGCTTCAGGTTCTGCTAACACAGGATTCCTAAACTTAAATATTGTAAAGAGTTGGTTAATGCTACAGTGGTCTTATTTGATAATCAAGCTTGGGATATATACCTTTTTCTACGATATGATTTCTGTACTCATATGGATAATTTTAATTATGGACATTTGATTGAAATAAAGCATTAAAATAGGGATTGCCTACCCAATCTAAAGGATCTGCATGTATATTTGTAAAATATATTTTTCTCATAATCACAAAATTTTCGTTTTTCTTGAACAGCATTAATTTTGAAAAATGGAATGTTAGGATCAAAGTAAAATTTAAATACACATGTGCAACCGTTTTCTTGATGTTAAGTTTAGACACCTGTATTTTGGACCTGGAAATCATTCTCTAAAAGATGGCATGGGTCCTATGCTTAAGTATCAAAGTATCTGCCACCAATATAACTTTAATTGTCACTGGCTATCACTGGTGTTATTTAATTCTTTTTCTTATTTTAAACGTTTATACTGGGCACACTATTAGAAGAGTGTTTGGTTGCAAAAGAAATTCATCACTACAGTAGAAAAAATAAGCTAGAAAGGAAATAATTAGAATTCAGTTTTTTATATTTTAGAAAATGTTTTTTTTATTAGTAGATTAAAAAATAAATATTTGAAAATGAATTACAAGTAATTATTATTTTATCTGTTTCAAATTTCTTCAAAAATGATTCAAAATTCATTTGACAATTAAAAATTCCTTTATTAAAAACATTATGTAGCAAAATACCTATGTGAAGGAATTTACTTTATATTTCTATATTTTTGAATCAGAATTGAGGTAAAATATAATCTGCAGGGGATTTAAAAATGTTTTTTAATTATAATTAATTATAGTACCTAGATATTGCAAAAATACCTTGAGGAGTAGGTGCATGAATCGATTTTGTAGCTTTCCGTTTATGAGTCATGCATTTAATATAATTGTATATTTCTAAGATAAAAGCAAATATTTTACCATTGTCGTAAAGTATGTACCTAGTTATAAATGAGAAACCAGACGTTTATATTGTATGTTAAAGCATATCAGACAAAGAAATCTTCGATGCTTGCGTACGCAAGATGTATTTTTTCTTACTATAACTTCCGCTTTTAATAAACGTTACCGTAGATGTGGATAAAGGTTACAATAAGGAAAATCTATACGGATAATGAGCCTAAAGAGCCCTGTTGCTATCGCCCACTGATGCTCGGATCGCCCCGAATAATCGCGGCTATGCTCGACAAGGACGTGTCTGATTGGTGAACGACACGTTGAAAGTAGGTTGTGACGTCACTAAATAAAGCTATAAGTATATGTGAACACGCACTCCTTTGCATTTTAGTCGAAAGTTTGTGAGAAGGAAGTGGTTAGTGAAAGTCTGTGTCTGTACGATAATTACTGTAAAAAAACCTGCAATATTATTAAACATTTTGTGAATTATGGCAAGTGAAGCACAAAGGTTAATTGGGATATCATTAACAAAAATTGCACAAAGTAGATCTCATCGCGGAGGTGTTAGTTTGCACAAAAATTTACTTGTTGCTACTGTGCTACAGAAAGCGCGGTATATTTTTATGGAAGAGGCTTACAACATGGTCCATTATCAAGCACCAGCGCCAGTTCAAGTTAGGCCTGTGGTTCCTGAAGAAGATTTAGTTGGATTAACTGCCGAGGAAGCCGGTTTAGAGTCGACTGATCTTCCTGATGACATACAGCAATCTTCTTCAAGTAGTGACAATTTACAAGAGTTTTTGCAAGCAACGTGTGTTAAGTGTGCGGAAAATCAAGATAAAGAGAATCACCCGCCTTATCATTCTTCGGAATTGACTTATTTCGACTTGGACAAAAGTTCTAATGTGTTACGTGAAAGAAGCAACTCGCCCTCATTAAAAAGACGACGAGCAGTAGCCGAATGGGAGACCGAAGAAGCCGTCCAATCCATCTTGCCGAAAAGAAGTAAACAGGATGAGGAAAGTGAGGTGCATGACGACTCGGTTTTTTTGGATGACGCTACGCTTCTGTCTGACGTAGTAAGCAAAGAGGTTGACGCGGCGTCGGAGAGAAACCAGGAGTCAAATGGGGGGTCTGCTATGGAAATCGATCGCATTACGTCATTGGTGTCCATATTCAGTTTTAGTATGGGAGATGGGAAACTCAACAGGTCGATGTCCACGCCAGATTTATGTTCGGCACAAGCAAAGGACACTGGAGATGGTTTACAACAACGGCCTTTTCTAGCTATGACTGTATAATAGAAGTGATAGCTGCTATTTTTCTAGGAAATATCGCCGCCCGTCGAGGCTGACCCCAACTTCCGCCAGAAGCATCAGGAGTAGCGTGTTGTGAAATAAATTTCTTACATACGATCTCCTTTTGACAACGAAGAGTATTTATTTTCTTTGCAAATTTGTCATAGTTATCAAAATTATGTGTGCTATATTTTGTGATACAATATAGTTTATTTGACATTTGCAAAGAAAATGGCTTATTTCGTGACGGTATTAAAATACCAGACCATGTGATAGTGATGTTAACTATGTAATTGTATTTTTGTAAAAATGGATGCGTGAAGGGGTGAATCAACCCTGAACCTTTAAGTCTTTGTTCTTGCCAGAGGCAGAAAATTCTATTCTTAGAAATACATTCCATTTTAATATCTACCTGGGCCCAGGTAGTTGTAGACATGTTTATTTGTGTAGGTATCTCTAAATGTTTAATCTTAGTCAAATAGGATGAATGAGATCCAGAGTTTATCATTTTAGACTTGAATGTTCAGGGACAAAAACTGTAGATAAATAATGGCTTCGTTTTAGGAGCTACTAATTTTATTCTTGTATATAACGAATTATTAATTATACACTATATTGTATATTTGAAATAAATTTTTAATATAATTTTGTGACTTTTACTTTTAAATCTATCAAATAATTTTAAATTAATTGCCTACGTTATGTTGACGATTTCATAACGGTACATATTCTGTAATTATGTATTTACGGCATTTATTTTTTTATTTAATTAACGAACTAAATCAGGATCAGTTCTCGTAGTGTTCTCTGTAAACTTTTATCTATTTTAGTACATAGATTTTTGGTTAGAAAATCAATCCCTTGACAGGTCCTTGGGCACTAGAAATTAATTTAAAATTAAATTTAATTTAATTTTCCTTTTTAGTACTTATGGCAAAAAAAACAATGAAAATAAATACATATAAATGATCATGCACGTTTAAAACAATTTTTGTAATACCGGAACCAACCTGGAAAGGATTAATAATTATATATACCTATCGTATCGTCATCGAAAACATTTTTTATGTAAGCAATTGTGAACAAGTAAATTTATTAGTATAATATAAAAATTATAGAATTGTGGTTTGTATAGGTACGCCACTGCAGATTAATAACTGCTGAATGAACGGTGGAATTACAATTTTTGCGGCAAAATACAAGTTTGTAATAATTGCGTGCTTGACCCGATCATGTAAGTATGTATTGTAATATCAAAACCTGTTATCTTTATTTTGGAAACTTTTACAAGCAGTAGTATGTTTTATAGTTATTATTATAACGCCCAAGACGACTGTTTAGTAATTTTTTCGATTGCAAATAAATTTGTGAATATTTCTGCTATAGTGACATTAAAATAAGATAGGTAATTAAAGTACCTCCATTAGATTAATCATTATTCGCAACTAGCTGAATAGGTGAAGTAATTAAAATATAGTAGGTAAGTTGTCAACAACGGCTACAGTTAACAAGCTCGACAAATAAGTGTACTTGTATTTTATTCGTAAATGAAATCCTTTCAAATGGATGATAACCTTTTAACTTAGATAAAATAAATGTGCATATTAAAACAGCGTGGTCAAAATATATTTACCATCACTGATGTAAATAGGCAATATGTTCTGGCATGAGCGCAACCAATGGTAGGAGATAGGATGGTTCCACACTCCCCTCCCCCTTTGCAAACCCTAGAGAAATTGAAAAAAGTAAATAGTTATTTTTATTAATTATATAAATTCGCGGAAATAGTTAAGTTACAAGATCCGCAGTCCTTTAATACCAGTTCCTGGCTACGCCCATGTGTTCTGGGTTTGTTTAAGAAAATCCACAGACCACCATTTTTTAATAAATACCTATATGAGTATACGTATAAACGTATACGTGTATAAAATTATAAAACAAGATTTCTCGTCTAATAGTTAAGTCTTCTCCGCCTATTTTTTTATTTAATATTTCATATTCTGCATATTAAATTTCCTTAATTGATATACTTATTATTTTTAATTTATTCATTAGCTAAGTATTAATTAAGAAGCTGCAGTATTATATTTCAACAAATGGTGTCATTTTATATAGCCATTATACTCGTAATCACTAAAACATTGTGAATAGTTGAGATTAGTCATACACTGACATATTCTTTACGTAAGTGTATAAACCTCATATCAGCGGTTGTGATTCACAACGACTGATTTCAAGGGGGAATTGAATAGATTAGGGAACTGTTCGGTCTTAAATCAATATTGTTCCGCCTTCACAGCTTTCGCACACCTAAGATACATATGTACATACGAGTACATTTTTTTTTTTGGTTTAAATTAATCGCTTTCAATTTTCTGTTTTGTATCTCTTGACTGATCACACTAATTATATACTTCATAGTAATTTTTAAAAATTAGTTTTATTTAGTTTTATATTATTTATATTATTCTTATTCTGTAATTAGGTTTGACCTGCAAAATATTGTATAAAAGAAAAAAAAAATAGTCATACAATAGACAAGCAAAAATGTTTAGATCATGTGTATTTTTACAATTATTGTGGTATCTAAAGAGTACCTCAATCGTATTATTTTGAGTTCTACAATAATCTTGCAATTACTTGGGCTTTGCCTTTTTATTAATGCATTCTTATAAAAATTGGTTACCTATCAAATATCAGATGCAATAATTTTCTGATTTTCTTTTTCTGCAATATCAGATACAATAATTTTCTGAGCAATGATTTTCTGATAATTTTCTGAAATTTCTTGAGAAAAAATAAATAAATCTACTTCTATTCATTGTTTTCATTTGCTCATACAATACACATACATACAATATAAAAATCTATATATATCTTTGATTTATAATATTCGTGGTAGAATAATTGCTTAATAATGGCTAAACTAAATAAACAGTGACAATATTATATTTAATAATGAGAATTAATATTCATGGAAAAACACTGTGGAGTTGTGAAAAACTATGAATCACGGTATTAGAAAATGTCGTATATTTAATTATTATTCAGGTTGTTTGTTTGTATTTTTAATTAAATGATATTGTGTCATTCCCAAAATATTTTCCGTATTTTTTGCTTTTGTACTTGGAAAAACGACCAAATATAGAAGGATGTAGAATATCCTCGTGTCATTTGATTTCGGATAAAAAAGGTTACTAATATAATTTTTAAAAAATTGGCATTTGAGAAAATTGTAGTAGGTTCAGACTACCAAATTTTCAGCAAACTTTGATTAAAATAATTTGATGAATACACGAAAATTAACTTTCATACCATTAAATTATTTTGGTAAAATTACCTGTTTATTTTTTCGAAAAATGTTCTGTTTTCTACCCACATTTCATTTAATTGGTAAACAGAGAACCATTCACAAAAAGAGAGAGAAAACAAAATTACGTCTTCAAACCATTTTCAAGAAACAGATTTGGTATAAATAATAAAAAATATATTGAAATGGGAATATATTTTCCTTTTCCCTGTGACATGTCAAAGGCTTGAGGGTGGGGGAACATGGCCTCTTTAGTAAAGACTCTTTACCATATACATACAAACTATCATTACTATCTAAGTATATGCTCTTTACCCTCAATGGCTGCGCCACTAAAAGATAGGATATATTTATTGCAATAGGGAGATATGGTCAAAGTAGTGTCAATCTGTAAGGGTATTAAAGTGATAAGGAAGCTTCGTATCTAATTGTGATTTAATAACAGAAATATTTATTGTTCTATCCAAATATGTAAACATAGTTATACAGAGTGTTCCATTAAATAAAACATATGTTAATAACCCAAATTACATTTTTGATAGCTAGAACATTTTATTTTATTTTTTTCTAAATATTGGAAAACTATCACGCGTTTTAGTATTAAAACAGCATGCATATTTCAAAATAGAACATCCTACAATATTCGTGAATGAATGCAAAATACTTCAAACTTCAAATTAGAATCCGCACAAAATGACGAATATGTAGTAAAGTAACAAGTGGCAAGTTGATGGTAAATCCCGGTTCAGCGATCGGGCCACCGTGGTCAACGACCGGACGAACAGGCACGCCTCCACTGCGCTATTCTACCTCTACGACTTCCAGCAGCCGCGTACCTCGTTATGCTTTCTTCAAGCTACAGAACAACAGGTATCCTATTACAATCGTTGTACACAACACGGTTTAATTTGTACCAGAGTGCACCATACCAATATGCTTTACATCCCTATGTAGATATTAGATAAAAAAAAATGTAATTTAAAATGTAATTAGATTATAAACAATCTAATTTATATAACTGTTATTAAATGAAAATATTTCGGTTAGGAAAATTTAAATTATCTAATGGCATCTGAAGAATTTTAGCATTAAAACGATTTTAGATTTTGGTTATATTGAAAGATACTCATGTTACGTATACAAAAACATCACCATCCTTGGATATATACTAATGCCTGCTTTTAATGTGTTTATATTTCTCAAGCCGAAGGTTCAAGGGCTCTTCTCCATAAATTAAAAATGCTTATAAACATACAAAGGTAACTTGTAGCACTAAGCAGGCCCGGTCTGGCTCATTCGGGGGCCGTCGGGAAAAATCGAAATCGGGGCCTATTTGGTTTTGTCTGTTATTAGGGTGCATATCGACTCTCCCAAGGAAAACTGTCATATCTCAAATTTGACTATACTGAGATAATTGCATTTGAATAGCTGAGAAAATAATAATGTTCGTTATTCTTTTTTATTGCAAGAGCTAAGTAATTATTGTTTAGGTCTTAATTAATTATTAATGATCTACATAAAATAGTTTAGGATAAGAAAAAAATGGATTTTGAATGAATTACTACAGTTTTCGTCGTCAAAATTTTTATTGAGAAACGACTTGCTACATTAATAAGGTACAGTAAAATTAAACATTTTCTATTTTTAGATAAAAAAATAATTGTTAATAATCAATAATGACATAAAAGGAAAATTTATTACGATTCAGTCAGAGTCATCTTCTTGGTCAATATTACTTTCTTTCTGATGGTCAGTTTTACTCTTACTATCAGGCCGAAGGGAGTTGTAAAATCCATGATACGTCTGTGGTATCAAATTAGCCTTACACATACCAAAAGACCGCTTAATTTTTTATCAATTGGCAGCAAACCTTGATACAATCTTGGAAATTAATATTCTTCGCGGTTGCGTGTATTTTTTGTTTATAAGTCGAGTTCTTTATGATTTTCTCCAAAATTATACACAAAAAATACTTTATTGGGAGACTTTGGATTGCAGTGGATTTCTCTGATTTTGCTCTTTGATCTTTTTTCCAGTTTTGTTTCTTTACTATTGGTTTAAAAGTTATAAAATCTTCTTGAAACATTTCTTTTACTTTGTACTGGGGGCAGTAACTTTGGCCATTTTTATTAGACTGATCCACTGATCAGGACTATCGGGAGTGTACATAGCAGAGTGACGTTTTTTTGAAATTTCAATCACAGCATGCATGCTGTCATTTTATTCTGCGTGTGGCCAATTTCAAGAAAATGGTGTGTTATTTCCTAATCCAAAGTCATTGATGCATAAGCAAACATCGCAAAAACAAAACGATTACGGTTTTGACCACCGCAAT